ATTATAAACAATATGGGTGTTTCACTAGCCATTTCAGAGAAAGACAATGCTTACAGTAAACCTTCGTGCTTCAGAGGAGGAGCTGTCTGCCAGAAGGATCCTAGGCTTTTTAAAGAACGCTGACCTAAGGCCAAAGTCATAGCAGAAATGTTGTTCTGGTTCTGATGGTCTAAGAATGTGAGAGGCAAGGTTCATAGGAAGAGATATTAATCTTTTATTAAACCAACTGATACTACTGAAGGGAAAAAACAAACAAACAAACAAAAAGCTCAGAGAGGGCTCATGTGTTTAAAATTCACTCTTTTTCCCCTTCCAACAATATCGCATGTTCTAATAAAAGATATTACTTCTTCCTGCAAACCTTGCCTCTCCCAAATCCAAACAATGTTCCAGAGTGGTGAGGACGCAGAAGCAGGGAGCTTTTTTTGTTATTATGTTTAGCTCTGTGTTGCTAGAAATAGAAACCTATTTTCAGAGCCCTTTGCAAATCCTGCATGTGTCTTTTTTTTGACAAGCAGGTGTCCTCTGCGTGATGAACTGTGGCCAGCTGTGACCAGAGGTACACCCAGCACAGACCTCTGGGAACGGATGGAGCTAAATCCCCTAGAGGTTTCAAGCCTGGCCCAGGATTTGGGGCAGGATGCCAGAAGGGTAGGACACAGGAGACCTAGACAGAAGGATGTCTTAATGAGGTTTAATGCCTACATAAATCCTTCCTCTGCCTGACATGTGTCTTCACTGCTGATGTCCCACCCCTGTCAGGACATTACCTCAGAAGTTATTAAGGACTGTTGTCTACGATTTAAGACTGTGTTCTCTACTAAAGATGAAGAAATACTGCCCTTTCCCTAGGCAGCTGCCACAGGATTTTGTTTTGGAACTGAATTACACACTCTGGGGCGAGAAAAGAAAACTATCTGGATTTTACTGGAGCACAGGCGAGTTCAGAGCCACAGAAGGGCTCTGGGAGCAATCAGACCCCAGTCTTCTGGCTGAGGGAGCAGCCAGGGGTCCTAAGCCCAGCCCCAGTGAAGCCCTCAGCTCCAGACAAACTCCCCCCCAGCCATGACAGCTCCATCTCCCTGGGCACACTGGGCAGGCTCCATGTGCCTGACGTGCTCCAATCTCCATGCCACACTCAGCTTGGCTGAGGCACAACGCCCCTGACCCGCAGCGTCCCACCACCTGCTGTCACAGCCCTGAGTCATGCCTAAAAAAATCACCTACTCACACATTTTTTTAAAGAAAACAACAAGGAAAATGAAATCCGCCCAAATCTTTTCTCTCCAATATGTATATATTCCTTCCCACAGAGACCCACACCAAAGATTGCACAGCACATTACACAACACATCACAGAAATGCTTCTTCAGCATCCCCGCCTTTACTCTTCACACAGATGCTGGGCTACTTCTCCCCTTCTCCCGAGTCCCTCCACTTTCGTCTGCCTTCTAATCAGATGCTGTTTCACCTCTCCCCACCTCCACAACCATCTTCTCTCCATCCTGTCTTGTTGAAAGAAGGTTTAAAGGCACCAGCTGAAGGGATCCCTCTGTGATGCACAAGGAAAAGGACAATCTGTCTTCAGGCAGAACATGGAGAGCCTTTCCGAGAGGGGAAACAAGCCTCTCTACTGCTTTTGTTACGCAAATGTTTGTTTTCTGTATCCAAATGTGTAACAGGAAATTAAGCAGTTCAACTTTGTTAAAGCACTTTTGCATCCCACAAATGCAGGAGCCAGATGGTGTTATTTCATTGTTTGAAAAGATTAAAAATGGGAAAGAAAGGAAATGGCTAGGAGCTAATGCTCAGCCTGGAACACACTCCCATACTCATGTGCCCAGTTATCCATGCTTGTGGGGCCTGGGCAGGAGTGAACATAGGGACTGAAGTGAGTCTGCTTGCAGAGAGCTCCAGACCTGTCACTTTGTGCCGGCTTTGAGATGGAATCTTCCCAGCAAATGACAAATTACAGTATTCTTCCCGGGCTGCAGCTTGGACACACCAAGAAATATTTTCTAGAAACCAGCTGAAATGGAACTTTGCTCCAGGTCCCACTGATAGGAATGGCAGGCTGTCGACAGGGGAGAGCTGCTGAGCACAAACACCGAGAACTGGGCTGGGGAATTTTACCAGGCAGGTTGTAGATGTGACCGGGAACAGCACCAAAGAATTTCAAAAGTTCATCTCTTCAGCCTCATCTCCACCTTCCATAGGTGAGACCCAGGAGCACTTTGGTTCTCACACTTGAAATCATTTGCTCTCTATCTGTATCCATTCAAAAGCTGTCACTTGGGGTATCTTGGTGGATTTGTGATGGGCCCATGAACTTGAAAGGATTATCTCAGGAGCTTTAAAGAGCCAGTTTTCATATTAGGAATCAAAACTACACAGAAGACAGCACAAATGCATAACTGTTGTGAAACCAAATTGTTTTTCTCAATGACATTTGCAGGAGAAAGTTAATGCTGCTTCTTAGCAGAGTTAAAGACAAGTCTAATACAGCCAATTCCCATGAGCCCCACCATGTGGCTTTGTTCGTGGCACAAGCAGGTTTCTGTTCAAAGTGTTGACTACTCTTGTTCACAGGGGATTTACAAGTGCAGGTTGTTACACAGAAACCAAAGAGCTTTCCCAGTCTGCAAACAGCAATGCTCACACCAGTTCTTGCAGAGAATGAATGTAGTGGTGCTGCACAAAGGGGAGGAGAGGACAGGTATGTGCTAGTGGTGGATGGGGAGGACAGAGACTGTCACGTAACTACGAGTGCACCAAAAGGGTGAATAATGAGACCAGCTCCTTGTGCTCTCCTGCTCCACAAGGTAGTGATTAGCAGAGGATACTGAGAAATTAACCTATCTGGGTTCTTCTCATATGTTGGGGGCAGTGTGGTTGGGCTATGGCTTCAGGAGGGATGAGGGACACTTGGCCCTTGGAGTTCTGGTTTCTGCTGGGGGGAATACATGGCCTCGATATGAATCCCGGCTCTGACACCAAATCCTGCTTTGGCCTTGAGCAAATCACATAAACCCTCTGTTCCTCATGCCACCATTGTAAACATAGGCAATCAGAACCTTATTTTGCTAGGACCCCTCTTTGGACAGTAACAGAGAAAAGGTCTCTATGCATGCAGAGCATGGGCTTACTGGTCAAAAGTTTTAAAAGTACCAAAAGTCACTGAAAAGAGAGAAAGGAAAATCAGCTAAGAACAAAATGATGTGCTGGTCTGAGGCTCAGCTCTTGCTCTGGTGAACAGGTGATAACTAGTTATTGCTTTGGTCATGCACAGCAATTATGTTAGCAAAGCCCACTAAAAAGCCCTATGACACTGCATAAGATAGCATGGAGCAATCCTCGGCAAAGCATTTGGCACAGACAGGATGAGGTCTAAAGGACACCACCACGAAGACGACATAAAATGCCACAACAGTGAACTGGCCTATGGAGATCTCAATCCTCACTTTTTGGGGTCTCCCCCAGCCTTCACGTGGCAATAGCAGCAAATTCTCCCCTTGCAGGGAGAGCTCTCGGTGCTGCAGGAATACCAGCTTGGCTGGGGTTGCCTCAAGCCATGTGACAGACTGTGGTTGGGGTAGTTCTATCACAGCTGAAGGAAAGAATCAGGCAAGAATGTGGGTAATCACACGGGCTGCTTCTCATCCTCCTCTGGGTCCTCTCTTCCCTACTCGCTCCTTCCTGAAGTTTCAGAAGTGACGAGACTTTAGACACCTCTCTTCCCTCATCACTGCCCAGCCACTGGACCAGACCTTTTCCCAACATGGGCTTTTGTGCTGCACAGGGAAGATTGGTTCCCTCGCTGGTAATTAAACTCGGCGATAAGCCAATGTCTTGCGCTTGGAAAGCTGATACAACTCAGCAGAAATCTGATCACCTTTTTTTTCCTCACCAATCAAATTAACTCTACTTGGCAACTGCCTATCACACAAAGAAAACCTTCTGAATCAGATCAAGACCATAGATCAACCCTTTCCCAGGGAGCTGATAGAAATCATCCTCAGAGCCAAACATCCATGTTGTAACCACAAATAAACCAGCCTTACTCCAAGCACCAGGCTAGAAATCACTACTCCTTAGTCTGAAAAGCTCTCCCTTGCTGGTGGATGTCCCAGTGACAAATGCTTACTCCAGTGCGCTTCAAACTCTGCACATCACAGCTTCTCCTGTAGCCGAGGAAGGGTAAGAGACACACTGTCACCCCAGAGAGGTTGCCATCCCGGGCAGACAGGGCAGTGCAGACAGGTACAAAGGGACTATGCAAGACAAGGGAACAGTGCGAGCACAAATCACAGAAGAAAAAGCTGGAAAGGCATTCCGGACTCACTGAGTCCATCCCCAGAGACAAGTGCAAGATTAGCCTCTGCACTAAACCCAGGCATTTTTATCTAGCTGCTTCCTGAACTTCTTTTAATGACAGGCACTCAGCAACCTACCCCTGGCAAATTATTCCATTGTCTAAATGATGACCCTGCTGCAAAAAAAGTGTTTTGAGGTCGATCCTAAATTGCCTATTATTTCCTCTTCCATATTTTATGCACTTATCAGTCAGTCTTTAAGTTGCCTTTTCTCTAGGTCTCTGTATTAAGTTTCTTTAATCTAACACAAGAGGTCACAGCCCTTAGTCTCTGTCATCTCTTTGGATTACCTTTAATTTATCAATGTCTTCAAAAAAGAGGGGGAAAAATAGGAAAGAAATAAGAATAAGATGACTTCAGAGCCATCCCAAAGCATGTGACTGTGTGCTGGGGTATCACAGAGAGCTCTATGTGTAGGCATCTGCATGGATGTCTGAGCTACAGGCATGCCCAGGACTGAAAAGGAGCGAGGACAGTGATTCAGGGATGCCTGATTGACATCTGTGTGCATGTTTCAGTGAGGGAATACCAAGCAAGTGAGCCCAAGAGCTGCGAAAACTGATTTACTGTAACATTTCCTAGTCTCCCTTTGCTCTGAGCATCAGACTGCCGCTGGAGCTGCCTTACCCTGTAGTAATCAGTGCTGTAGACATCTCTGGACATCCCAAAGTCTCCAATCTTCACCAGCAGGTTGGCTCCGACCAAGCAGTTCCTGGTGGCCAGGTCTCTATGGACAAAGTGCTGGGAGGCAAGGTACACCATTCCAGAGGCGATCTGGCTAGCGATGTGGAGCATCTGGGATAGCCCTAGCTCCCCTTTGGCTTGTCGAGGCTGCCCATCCACGAGGATCATAGCATCTGGGCCATGTGCCCTATAGGGAGGAAGAAGCAAAAAGCATAGAGTTGGGTCTCAAAAGTGACCAGGAGATAGGAATCCCACACGGTCGCTGTTCCTGCTGGGGTAGGGACTAGCCCCCAACTCTGCACTGTGAGGATGTACACACAGCTGCAGTGGAAAGAAAAGAAGAAAAGCTTAAGAGAACAGGAGGTTGGGGGAATATTTGATGGGTGGGTGCCATACATCCTTCTCCTGTCCTTACTTTTCTGCAAGCAAGCTCTCATGGCCACAGATGGAGACAGACTGCCAGGACAGAGGGACGATTGGCTTGATGCAACACAGACGTTCTTCTCTGGCAAGACCTAGGCAAAACTAATGGGCCTCCAGGTATTTACATGTGTGCTCCAGTTAATTCTTATACCTTGGAAATCTTTCCAGAGGTAGAGGTGTCTCCCCCTTTTCTTCCCAGCCATCACATTCTTGCTACCTAGCCTATTAATCCCAAACAGCGTCTTCTTTTTCCTCCAGCCACCATATCAACAAACCATCTCCCCCTGACCAATACAGCCAGAGATCACATAAAATATTTAAGAGGACCACCAGCAGCTTCATCCCTGGAAAATACCTTTTATACCTTAAGGTATCCCAGAGGTACTGTAACACAGGTACTATAAACTGTGAAGGCACGAGCAGAGGTATAAAGGTTAGACGTGGGTATCAGCTGATGCAGAGAACATCCTGGGCAACAAAAGGAAATATTTTGCTGAACCAAGTGCATTGGAAATGCAGGACTGAAGGTCAGTCTTATTCCTGTCCTATCCCTTTTTTTAGTCCCCTCCCTTGCTATGTACCAAGGCTGCCCTTGCCATGCTCCCTCTCTGATGTCTCTTCCCCTGGTAGAGCTCACCCTGTGGTAGCCTGTGTGAAGGTGGAATAGCAAAAGCCCTCGTATTTAGGGAAAAGCAAGAGAATTTGCTGTGACCTTCCTCCTTGTGTCTAAGACACAGCACAGCATTTCCTCTGAGGCTTTCATACTGTTCTCTCTGAAACAATTCCTGGCATTTCACCCCTGTCATCAGCAGTAACCCCATGGAGAGCTAGCAAATTGAAGTTACACATACAGAGCTTTCCCTCCTTCTCGACACAGGACTGAACAACCCACCACAAGTCCCAGACCGTTCCCATCCTTTGTCTCTGTTTCCTAGTTTTTCTGTGGGTCTTGAGGGTGCACCAAAGGGATTATCATCCAGGCATTTGGGGCTCAACTGATAGTTTTTCAAATGCCCTTGTCTTCAGCTACCTCCTGCTGCCCTACCCCTAGGAACACGGCTCTGAAGGTCCCCTCCTGGTAGAAAGGACAGCTGAAAGAAGAGAGGAACCCCAGAAATGAGTGCTGATGAACCAGGAATGTCTTTTGGGAGCCACCAGTGGGTGATGCTGCAGTGAATGCGAGATGAATGTGAAGTGGGGCTGGGGCTGCCGGAGGAATCTCGGAGCCTTGTGGGCATGGTGGGAGCAGCAGCACACTGGAAGAACTGCTAAGGGCAAGGAGTAGTTGCAGAAGAGTGTATGCAGAAATGACTGCTTGATGTCTTATTTAAACAGCCCACAGAGAGGTTTTCCCCAGGAAATTTCCTGATGGTGACAACAGATGTCTACAGCAGGTGAAGATGAGCCAGGAATGAGCAGGTTAGCTAAAAACAGCAAAGCAGGCCAAACAATAGCTTCTGAAGCTGTGCTGGACAGTTTGTACCAGTCATGCCTTGCAGTTACACCATATTTAGCTGCAGCTGATACCTGTTGTCATCAAAGGTAAACATTGCCAAGTGAGAAGTGAAAGATGTATCATTATCTCATCACTGCCACCTTTTTCAAATACAATAATGGCCTCCAAAAGAAAGTCTGTGAAGGAACAGGTGTGATCTTTAAAAAATGGTCAGCCAACACCTTTATTTCACTGGCTCTTTGTACATGCTACTATATAGGACACATCTCGATATGTCCTATATACAACATACACCTCCCTCCCTGGTTGTAGTCCAGAAGAAAGAAGTATCAGCACATATATAAGATTAACAGGAGGAATATTAGGACATGTAGTTGTGTCAAGAAGCCTGCAGGGAATATGAGTGGGGTCTGCCTATCTCTTCTTGGGGAAAGGGGTTTCATTTAGCTTTACAGAAAGGTCATAAGATTGGGTGGATCCCCAGTTAAAAAACTGTTGGGGATTTTTGCTATTATGGAGCGATCGAGGCTTTTGCCAACATGGGGAAGAAAATCACCCCTCTGGCTTCCTCTGCTGAAACCCCTCTTTCTGTCCCAAGACAATTTGACTGTGGGGCTGCTCTACTGGAAGGGATGACACAAAACCATCATAACTCTGCAAATTTTCTGTCAAAGTCTGTTGCCTTTCTGAGTTAAGGGCAAATGGTAACATCCTACTACAGACTGCAAAGAGGGTCTGTAACAGCAACGTGCAAATATCCCTAATTCAGATTTGCTGCTGCAACAGAGAAAAAAGCTAAAACAACAGTGACAGAAGGAAAGAAGTGATGGAGATACTCGGTGTGCAGAGAGGGAAGGCGGTTGCTGCAGACCCTCGAGCAGTGGGGCTGTGTGCCGGGGAGTCTCCAGTCTTGCCACGCACACATCGTGCAAGCAGCCTCCAGCCCCTATGTACCCCAGCCCTAGGGATGCCATGCCTCCTGGACATCAATGCCTGTATTTCCCCACAGCAGGATCTTTTCACTATCCCTCTTCCATCAGCCAGGACACCACGACTGCAGTCTCCCACAGTGCGGGGAGCAGGGTAAGCTGTTGCACCATCAGCAGTGGTCTTAATCGCAGGGGTCCTGGGAGGCGTGTAGAGCCATCCCAATACAAGCCACCTCTAGCCCAGCTGGTAGGTGCTGATGCTAGTGCTTCCCCTTGCCGCACCAGTTAATTTTACAGACCAGTAAAATTCTCTCTCTTCTCTGGGAAGCCCACAAAGATCTAACAACACTTAGGGGAATTTATTTATTGATATTTTCTCTAGGAAACTGTGTCTAAAGTGAGCCTCTTCCATTTTACTGCTTTTCCAATGTCTGCAGTTAAACTGGGAAAAGTCCATCTGAGTGTCTCTGACAGACTCCCAGCGTCCCTGGCCTCCAGTGCCTGGGAGCAACTGTCTCCTGCCGTGGGCTGAGTGAACCATGCCACAATAAAAAATGCTACTGAGGAGTGCCAGGCACTCCTGCACCACCAACCCTGTCTGACCCCCTTGCAGCCCCCATCCCCCTGAGTTTCCTACCAGCAGATAGCTGACCCAACAAGTAAAGCCCAAGACTCTCTTTCCATATGTCCACTTAGGTATTTTGAGTTCCGCTTCGCTGGGTATAAGCTCCTTTGTCCTAAAAGCCAGATTCCTTTGGGAAACAAAGGGATTCCGCTGCCTATCACACACTCATGTGCAGAGAAGGTAGCTTGTAGCTGTTTGTCCATAGCAGAATAAGAAGGAAAAGCTGGCAGTTAAGTGCAGCTGGATGATGTGAGGCTGCAATCCTGGGGACCACACATCTGGAAAGTTTCTTTTCCTCCATAAAGGCCCAAGATAATACAACAACAAGCTTTCTTCTCCAGTGACACTGGGACAGGCCCTGGGTTCCCAGGGCATGAGTGTTTCTCAGACGTGTCCCAGGGCAGGGTTGGGACCCACGGGTAAGGGTAGTCATGATATTAGCCTCAGGACCACACTGTTGTGTGAAACAATTCCACAGAGCATTGGCAGTGGACACGAGACATCCCTCTGAGACAGCAAAAGAGCCTGGTTTGGACTAAACTGTTTTGGGAGGTCAATTAGAGAGGGAAGCTATGTCTCAGCTGTAATGTCTACCTTCCCTAAGGAGAATAAGGTTGCTGGTTCTGCCAGGAAAAAAAGATGGGTCAATTTTCTGCTCTTCCTTGTGAAGCACTTCAAGAATGCAGACTCTCACGCTCTTCTTTAGGCTGCCTCCCTCCAGCCACAAGCCTGAGGCACTGTCCCTAACACTGCATCCCCAGCCTGAGCTAAAACAGTTTCAGCTCAGTGCGCAGTTTCATACCGGTAAGCAGAGTTCAAGCTGCTACTGCTGGGAGGTTGCTGAACCTCTGCAAGACAGTGGACCACAAAAGAGGGTCACAGGGTAGCTAAGGCTGCTCCCCCTTGAACGTGGGTCTGAAGAGCTCTGCAAGGCTGGTGTAGCGTCAGCCTTCACTCATCCTACCTTGCCAAGGATGTCATCTATTCAGAGCCTGAGACAAGGATTGAGCTATAAAATCATATTCCATCTACCCACAACTATTCAAAAATCAGGAAGGAAACCAACACAGGGATGTTCCCAGCTCAGCCACCGCCCTGCAAACACCCGAGGGGAGCTGCAGATTGGCACTGCTTGGTGGAGGAAGTCCTGGGGTCCTTCCCCATAGCTCTTCCGGTGCTGGTGATTGCTTAGAAATTACAGTCTCAGGGAAAGACCTGTGTTTCCTGGTTAGAAACTGACTGTGATGGCAGAAAAATGATCACCGAGTGTATCCCAAATCCCAGATCAAGATCTGCTGTGCTCAAGCTTCTTGTTCCCGCTGCAATCATGTTCACACTTCACAGTCAAAACAGGAAAATATCAAGGGTCCAATTTTCTAAACACTGGGAAATAAAACTACTAATTATTTCAAGAGGTAAGTACCACTCCACTTGCACACAGGTTTCAGAGCATAATTTCTGTATCGTGGGAGAGCAGCACCACAAACATCCTCCCACGGTTGCTCCCTGCCCCTCACACTGATGGATTCAGGGTGCACAAATGATCTGCCTCATGCTGATGAAATGGTTGAATGATGGTGGAGGGGGGAGCTCCAGCAGTCTGCTTCTCTCTAGAGGCAGGGAAGGCAATTATGGCACTTCGTCAGGCGTTGCCTAAGTTCTGGAGTAGCACAGTGCCACAGGTTAGGGTATTTCGTATCTCTCTTAAGGTATCTGCTGGATGAGCTGAGGGAAGAAGGCTAGTGGCCTTCCTGCTTCAGCAGGGCATGGCTTTGCTGGGTGTATGGGACTGAGAGCTGCTGACAGTCATGGCTTCCTGTCCTTCTGTCCCCACGGGACAGAGAGGGATTCCAACCATGGTCCCTGCAACTTCAAACTTGCTGGGATTGGGAAAGAAAAGTCTGTTTTCCGTAGTTCACAGGAATCATCCCTGGGAGTACCTTAGAGGAAACACAGGGGTAGGGCTAATAAAGCACCAAATCCGGTGAGGACCATCATCTCCTACACGCTGTCCTTGGAACAACCAGCTCTCACTATCCAGCCCACCAGCATCCACATGGCAGTGGTCTCACTGGTGCTCCACAGATCTCCAAGCCAACCCGAGGCTGCGGAGTGGATGCACAGCATCTCCCATGCCCTCCTTTGCACATACCTCAGGAACTTGTTCAGGTCCCCGTGCTTCATGTACTCGAAGACCATGATGAGTGGGTCGCCGTCACCACACACGCCATAAAACTTGACGATGTGCTCATGCTGCAGGTTGGTGAGCAGCTCTGCCTCCCTCTGGAAATCCTTGCGGGCTGCCAAGGTGGGGTCTTTTAGTGCCTGAAAGAAGGGGCACAGATACACACAGGGTGGGCTCAGGTAGGAGCAAAGCCAGAATAAGGGGAGCTGATGAGGAAGGGAAGGGAGAGGAACCACTGCCACTGGCTTGGTTGCACAAGGGGGGCTGACAGTAGGTGCTGGTGGCACCACCTCAGCGTTTTGTTCACGTAGCTACTGGCCCAGCAGGTTCCCCAACTCATTTCCCAGGCAGCAGCAAACATGCCTCAGAGGGTAATAGCTTCCAATTATTCCCAGCTTGGGCAGGATTTGTACTGGTGACCTAGGGGTGAATGGCTTCATATCTCATTATTATTAAATTCCTGAGCCAGCCAGTCCTTGCTATCTGTCTTTTATTTTGAAAGAGCTGACTACACTGCCTTTATTCAGAAGATGGATTTGCCTGGCTGTGCTGTTATTGTGTGGATTTTTCAAACTGCCTCTGAAGAAGGACACTGTCAAGTCTTTTCTCATAATTTTTAAAATCATGTTTTTATTCCCTGCTGTTTATAACAGCTCCCTTGGCAGACTGATGCTGAAATCGGTATCCTTATTGAGAATATCTCATCTTCCACATCTGAGCACACCATTTTGCCATTGGCAGGGTAGCTTGCAGGCTCCAGGCTGTGTGGACCTGCTTGACATTGCAGGGTTGTTATGAAGATGTTGCTGTGGGTACAGCCAGTGATCAGGGAGGGTTCTCCAGCTTTGGAGGCCACTTGTTTGTGCATTATTGTGCAGTTGCGTCGGAGAGCTAGTTTGAAAGCAGTGTGTTTTCATCCCAGGGCTCATCAAGAGAGGGCTCTTCCATGAGCACTTAGTAAAAAATGCTGAAGTTCAGGTGTGATGGGCATGAGAATCTGCACTGTCTCTGCAAACATTTAAGGAAATGAAGAGGCAACTCTGGGTTTGAGTTGTTCGGTCTCAGTATTATTCTTCCCATCCTCCACATTCCAGGACTCTTTAGTACCAGTTTGGGTTTTAACCATGCAGCCTAATGGCAGTTGAAAAGGATTCAAGGCAACTTGTTTCAGTTACCTCCGGATTCAATCTGATGTGCACTGGTTCCCCCTCAGTGACAGGGAACAGAGGTAGCTCTCCCCTTACCTACACACAACTACACGTGCCCCCTTTTCCCCATGCCTTGAATCTCCTCCTGCTGACAGGATAGGTGGCACCCTCAGGTGCAGGCTCCAATTTACGTGCAAAAAGGGATGTTAAGCATCAGAAAGCTGTGCACAGAGGAAGGGGTCGAACACGCTGCTAATGCTTCTCCATCTGGTCCACGGCACCGCTGGGTGCAATGCCATGCACTGCAAAGCAGTGAGTCCTCCAGAGCAGCTGCTTTTCCTCTTGGAGCAGAACTCCTGCAAAGCTTTGCCCAAGCTTTAGGACACTGCCTCACCTCCTTCTTCTGCCCCTAGTCACAAGGCGTAATACTGCTCTAATTCTATGTCCTCTGGGACAGCTTGACAAGAAATATTTAGATGGATGTTAGTTACACTGTGCAGATGGCAAAGCATCCATCCTTATCTCAGGCACCCAATTACTTTTAGTCATTTAATATCTTCATAATGTTGATGCTACCCTATTTTTCCCCAGGAAAACAGTCCCCTCCCCCATCACTCTTTTCTCCCTCTTTTCCTGCACTTGCATGTAATGTTTCAAGCGACAGCAAGTTTAGGTTTCCTCTCCTTCATGTGCAATCTTCTCTACAAGATGCCAGGACCGTAACTTTGTAAACAGCATACACCAAAAAATAAAAATAAGTATACTAAAAATCCCACATTACTGAGTTTGCAGCACTTAGAAAGGAGGGAAACAGGAGCTGAAGTGGTGGAACAGGGGAAGAAGACCAGGATCAGAGGAAGAGAAGGGATGCCTCACCAAAACCACTGAAATGCCTCTCCTGGGAAGCTTTGGGGTGGACTGCATTTGTGCCTTCATCACACAATTCCTATGGGACATCTGGCAAGTCACTCAGCATCTGCAGGTTGCAGCCGTTGTCATGAACTGTCAGTTGTTCCAATATTCCCTGGGAAATCCCTCCAGGTCTGTGCAAGCTCCGCTTGTTTACTGCGGCAGCAAGGGTCAATGTGGGTCTGGCACCTGCTGCCTGTGGGGCTGGAAAGGCAGGTCAGCAACTCCATCCTGCACATAAGTGGATCTTTTCAGCTCAGTTTCCCTCCTTCTCCATCTGCCCTCTGCAAAATGGGGATGATACAACCCCTGCACCTCACTGGGAAGCTGTGAGTATGAGCACACTCACATCTAGGGAGCTCTCAGACACAGAAGTGATCATCACAATGAAGCAGCCCATAGAGAAATGAAAAATACATGTTCAGAGGACTTGCCCTGGATACCAACCCCTCCAGCTTTTCTAGTGCTTCGTAACCTCAACGCTCTTTGCTGAATATAGTTTTTGTGCATTTCTTAGGATGTTTTTAGAAGCAAGCTGAATAAAACAGGAAGCTTGCTTGTCCATGCCATCACATCAAAACTAAACTCAGCTTATCTGCAGGGCTGCAACCTTTAGATCTGCTGAAAATCTGAGTTCATTTAACTGAGAGAGTAACACAGCCGCTTTCTTTGGCCCTGGGAGGGAGTCCCTGACAGCAGAGCAGAGGTAGACTTTAGGCTGTGGACTGAGCTGCCCTAACCAGCATGTCCTGCTGCTGCCCTGAGCTGCAGTGACTGGGGAGGTAGTTCTCAGCCTCCATCGGGAGCATGAGATCTTCAGGAAATGCAGCCAAATCTCAACTTAATATGTAAAGGCTTTTTTACTTTCTTTTTTTTTTTTCCCCCGCTGTCAGACTTATAATGTGGCCCAAATTAGAAGGATTTTTTTCCTGCCCTACTCCTCCCCCTCCAAGCTGGCAAGAAGCCAGATTTTAAGGCCCTGATCCGAAGCTGGATCTGTGTGATCTTGTAGGATGAAAGGCACTCTGGAGATGTAAGCTCATAGTAGCAATTAACAGAAACAAGTTCGGATGCTGTTTCTGCCTACATGCAAATGAAACTCGGAAGAGACCTAAGAGACAGGATCACATAAGGGACGGCTGACAGTGATAGGCAGGTACCAGCCATATAATCAGGCAATTAATCATATGGGTAGCTGTGCTACCTCGGCTTTTACCAGTCTCAGAGGTGAAAGGTACAGTCTTGCAGTTCACAGCCAAAGCATAAGGGGACAAATGAGCTAAAAAAAAGGCTTGAACTGTCAATGATTAAAACAACTCAAGTATCTGCATGCCTCCAGCATCCTGGAGAGAGTGGTGGAACCTTTCTCCCTGTAGAGCATCAGTTCAAATGCAGATCTTCTTCCAAGGAGTTAGGAGCCATCAATTAACTCCCAGGGATTAGACTGTGTGTGCCTGCCAACTGGTGCCACTCGAGGAGAGCACATTTCTGCACTGAGTGGTCTCCCTGCCCAGAGCCACACTGATGGGGCGCAGCTCACATGAGGACCCTCACAAGGATGCAAAGAGCACAGCACAAGCCCAGCTGAACTTGGGTTGGCTTGAAATCACCAAAACAGGAGCAATCTGTGGCTAGGCAAGCAGGAGCTGAGCCGAGTTACTTTGCCCATCTTGCAGTAAATTGATCCCAGAAATTGGTTAGTCGTGCTTAGCTTTTAAGTGCTCATTTTTGCTGAAGCCCTTTTCTGTTTCAGCTTCTGCATGTTCCACAAAGAGATAAAATCCGGAAAGAGAAGGGCCTCGCTCCCTCACGGAGGGAAGGTGGGCTCCACACTGCGCTGCTGCAGCTGCACGGGAGCTACAGCTTCCAGACCAGCTTCTCCTCCCCGTCTGTCTCCTGGCCGCGTCGGCAGGAAGAGAGGCTTTGGCACTGGTGAGAATAGACAACCTTGAAGCGAAATGCTGAAACTTTGTGTGACTAAGTGGATTTACCACAATCTCCGGCATCAGATAAATCTCCGCCCCTGGCCCCCAGCCCTCCCCTGCTTCCCTTTCCCACGCAGGCTCATCCAGCCTCGCTTAGCCAGCCCCTGCCGTACTCCCTGCCATTCACCCTTGGGATTTACCTTCACTGCCACCAGCATTTTGTCATTGGTAGGGCTGAGGTTGTAACACTCGGCCAAGAACACCTTCCCAAAGGCACCTTCTCCCAGCTCCCTCTTCAAAACGATGTCTCTCCTCTTAATATGCTGGACATCTGTTGGAGGGAGGGGAGGAAGAGGGAGAGGGTTGAGGGAAGAATGAATCAGGGTTAATTCAGGGAATGGAAAACAACTAATTCAATTTTCTAGAAAGCTGCAAAGGATCTGAAATTGCTTTGCAAAAATATCTACAGGGATCTTTTTACCCACCCACGGAACGCAGCCATCTCTGGGATGGAGCTAGTCTCATGCAAAACATCTATGAGGAATGTACTTGAGGTTTATCACGTTCTCGCTACAAGCTTGCGGTGGGCTTGTCCTCAGAGGGAGGAATCTTTAGGGCAAAATCTGCTACCAAGACCTGAATCTCTTTGGAGTGATCCTGGAAATAATTAATCGCCTGTGAGGCACACCAAAGGTCACATACTTCCGATGCCAGGCAGGATGAGATTAGAAGGTCCTGTTGAGTTTTGCATTTCAATCGGGATCAGTTTAAACCCAAACTCAGGCAGATTTTTGAGGCTGAACCTTGACAAGCCAAAGAATTCCCAAGGGGAGAAGGACCACTGACCCCCATGCACCGTAGGGCACTAGCAGGAGCTGGTTGGAAGTAGCGAGTGCTGCCCCGCAACGAGACCCTGACCCTGCAGGCATCACCTATGTGACTGTTCCTTCAGAAACAAGGTTATCCCAGGATAAAGTCACTGGCACAACAGGCAAACTCAACCCATTAGTTTCAATGATCCTTTCCACTGACATTTATGACGGCGAGGACTGACAGAGAATAGCAACAGAGGCTTCAGGAAGAATCAAAAGAGCAATAGCTATTGATTTAATGCAAGTACAGAGGCCTATGAAGATTGGTCTGCTCAGCTAACAGGGCCATCCATATGAAGATCTACCCAGGGAGCAGGCACCTGCAAGGTTAGATGAGTGACTAGCAGGATCTCCCCAAATGCTGGGTCATGATCAAATGTCAGTGGTTGCTGGGAGAGCTTGGGGGTCTCCATACTCTTGTTTGGGGATAATACAAGGGCACAGCAACTTCCTGCCAAAGATCTAAGCACCTTTCTGGCATCGCAGTGCCCACACAGCTCCTCTGGAAATACAGAGGCTGTTTTTAAATGCTTGTAATGACCTGTGGAAACAGCTAGAGATGCACAGCCACCCATAGCATTGTCTGGAGAAACAGTAGCCAAAACTTCCTCTAAACTGCCCATCACTGGAGCTTACTGTCTCTCTTGAGAACTGTGGAGCACAGACCACCCCCAGCTTCAGCCTGATGGTCATGGTGGGGCAGTGAGAGCCAAACACTGTTCTCCAGTGCTTGGTGAGGAAAAGCCGATGTATCAGCGGTCTCCTCCAGCAGAAGCATTAGATGGGACAGTGCCTTTTTCCCACTCGTACCCTGGCGCATTCATGACTTGGCCCTGCATCTGCTTCCTCACAAACTGGACTGCTTTTCAGTCTTTCCCATCTCCTCCACATGCCGCAGGAACCGCAGGGTATGCATCCCTTAGCTCAGATGCATTTCCCTTGAGGTACTGCGGGTGCAGGAGGCAGAGTTGACTGACATTGCCTTTCAAACTGGCTGCAAGGCAGCATCACTAACAGTGATCAACCTGCCACCAGCTCCTACCATCCAGGCACCCGAGTAGGCACCTATATCACCCATGAAAACATATGCCCCACAACGACATAGGTACCACTTAATGCATCAAAAAGCCAATGGATTAGAAGACTAATGTCCTAACGACTTTCATATAATTAAGCTTTCTAATTAGGAGCTCACGGGCAGGTTGAAGGAGCTGCCATCTCTAGCCCTTTTGCTTGTTTGGGAAGATGGATGCTGTGAGATTGTATAAGCAATGGGCCTTGTAATGAATAATGCCTCCATAGAGAATTCCCGTCGACCTTTTCATTAATTGTTCAATAGACTGAAAACGGTTAGTTACCAATATTAATAATATTAGTAACATTAAAGCACAGGGTGGTAGGCATATCCAAAATTACTTTGGTTTTAAATCTGCAGTGACAGCCAGGGAGAACAAATCACATGTGGACTTTGCCTTCTCCACCTGGTTCAGTTGAGTGTTTAAGGAGTACCTTGAGAAATCTGAAACATTAGGTGTTGAAATGTTAAGTGATGCACTTGGGTGAGGAAAGTCCTAATCTAGGAAAAGCATAAATGGCACCAATTTACTTAATCGAGTAGAGGAAAAGGTTTTTTTCCTCTTTCTCTTGGCAAGCACTTCTATAGCACTCATCACTACAGTACCTAGGATTTGCTGTATTGACAAACCATGTATTTGCATTCTTGGTCTGCTGAACAGCAGCAGGCAAGAAAGCTGCAGGGAAATGATCTTGTATTAAGAGGAGCCCAAGGACACTTAAAAAAACCTCAGAAACCCAACAGAAATGCAGCAATTGCAATCCAATTGCCTCATTTGATGTCAGATAAAGTTAAAAAGGGAACTGTCTCAGAATAACCAGCAATACTGTTTGAGATTATTTACACTTCCGATGAGTAAGTGGTAACATCATGAGAACTGAAGCAAACCTCTCTTTCTGAACTCCCCAGGGTCTTGCCCAAAATTGTCAGCTCCCAGGTTTTCCTCCCAGCAACATCTTAATAAACGATCAGATGATTCTGAGAGCCTGCATCCAGACTGTGTAATTACGTTTACATTATTAAAATAATATTCCATCTGTCTTCAAGACTATGCTTTGCAGCAAGTTGTGAGGGTCACCTGAGAAGCTTCTGGGAAAATGTATATGAAGAATTTAAGGAGATATTTTGTCAGACAGTTGAACTGAGGAAGAAGCATTCTTTTTGAGGCAGTGGACTCAAATAGCACTGCTGGAATTAAAGCAAACTTGGACAGTTATATATAAAAAAAAAAAAGGTTCATGAAGTTAAGCAGTTTGACAGCAACTGGACAATCTTAATGTAGAGTCAGAAAAGTACTTTTGCTGATCACAATTTCCCTCAACCTCGAATGGCCATAAATTTTACTTCACAGTATTTCAGGCAGAAATGGAATACTAAGTGTGTTATAATAAATTGCTTTTTCACATGCTATAGGCTTAAAATACCTAAGTTTACATCAAATTCTTCCATTGACAGCAAGATCAGCACTATGATTAATTCTACATTACTATTAAATATGAGCTTTAAACATAAAGCAATGACAAACCGCACCGGCACTCTGAGGATGGCTGTGTTATTGTGCTAACCTTGCATCTCTCTGCTCATCTGTACTGGCTGTAACTCATAAGGAAGGCCGAGTAGCCATGAAAGATGCTGTGCTGCAAGGGCACCTGGGAGGTTCATCTGCATAAATCTGTTTACCTCCTCCTGGAGAAAGCTCAGCCCTGTCTGATAAACAGCTGGTGTTTATTTGTTTTAGGCAGCCAGTGGTGTGCTAATCTGTCTCCGCTGTGTTGCAGTCAGCCCTGCCGACAAGGTGTATGCAAACTGTCTTCCCGTAAGTACCACTCTCCTTTTTTTTCCTTCTCCCTGTACCATTAACTTATAAAAACAAGCCAACAAGACAAATCAAAAGAAGAATCTATGCAGGAGCCATAGCAAGACCCAACAGGAAAATAAGCAGTCTTGACAGCGTGATGGGAACTCATTCAAGACCGTGCTGTATCTGCAGGAAGGATGTAAGCACACAACACTGAAGTAATTCTTAAATGAAACATCTTGCAGTCCTTGTTTTGGGATTGCTACGTTGCTGCATGACACAGAAGGAGAGTTGGACAGATTCCACACCTTCCTTCTTGTCCATCAAGATTTAATGCACGGAGAACACGCTTCAAGCCCTTGCTTTGTTCTGAATAACACATGCCCCACATCAGAAAACACCCAATTCCAGCTGATAGGAAATGCCCTCAACTTCAGTTCGATGACGGCAGCACACGGGTAAGCAAGAGCATTAGCAAGAGAGTAAATCTGGGACACTGCACTCACCATTACGAATTGCCTCCAGAGCAGAAAGGCTGACTTTTCTCTGGAAGAGCCAAGGCAGAAGGGCTGCTGCTTCAGATCTGCGATAGGATCTTACCTAAGCGCCACCGAAACTTTTTCAGGATGGCTGACTTGATCTGTGCTTAAAGTGTACTCAGTCAGAAAAGTGGCTAAACCCAGAAACTTCTTCCTCCCCAAATTTACTCCCATGTGTCCCTTAGTCACGTCTCCTCCTCTTCTCGACACAAGTGTATTCCAGTCGCTAACCTTGTGAACCCAGCACAGCCATGGGATACAGGGGAAGAAAAGGGAACAAGATTAATTCTGCTTTTCTCACATCAATCTACCATGTCTTGATGCGTCACTTCTGCCCTGGGCCCTTGGGATAGAGCCTGGAATAGCCAGAATTTTTTCACTTAAATCACTGATCCTATGACTCTTCACTTCTCTTTTACACTCATATTTCTCTTGCTTGTGACAAGGTCAAGGCATAAAGACCCCCAGCTCAATCTACAAATCCCAGGTAAAGCATACAGGGCCAGTAACAGGCTGTGTGGAATGAAAACAGTCTCTTTCTAATAACCACCACATTTCAATCACTTGAGCAAAAATTGTGAAGTTCTGGTACATTTCATGGATACATTTCATGAATCTAATTTTCAAATTGTTGTCTCATTTCCAAATCAGTCCTGGGGGTCAGGTGAGGAAGAGGTAGGTTCAGTGACTCTGCAAATTCTGCATTTCAGATTCCCATCACAGCCAGCATCCTTAAAACCATGGCTTCATAATACTTTTGAGACCTGGATGCACATGATTGTGTTTGGACACAGATGACGACAGTGGGAGGTAAATGAACAAATCAAACTCCAAACAGAGTAAACCACGAACAGTGCCGGTACTTAAGTTACAGCAAAATGCAAGATTACTTCTTAAGCTGAATCACTAACACCAGGTCTGAAATTAATTCCTCATATCTCCTTCTTTCAAACTCCTGAAATAGCAGTCTATCTGGTGGTTGTATTTCTAGTGGGTTTCCTGTCCTTGGACTCTTAATTCATGACCAACATGCAGTTCACTAGGGAA